TTGTGTTTTCTTTTTGGATGAAGAATTTATTTACTCTTGTACTGTATTTTAATATTCATTGCTTTAGCAGATTGGAGCCTCTTGACCTTTTTTCATGGCTTTGGGGTTTCATAGAATGAAAAACTATGAAAAATAGAAGTAATCTCTGAGGGTTTGGAAAGCCCTTGACCACAGTGCAGAGAGCAGATCTTTTAGCTTTATGGGCTGTTCCTGGCCATTTAATATGTATGTTTAATATTTGGTTAAGATTATTAAAAAGAAAATAGAGGAATGTTAGTTGCCTTTGGAAAAAAGATAAGCCAATGAAATGTTGGGACCTTTCTTGTTAGAGTTCATGGTTCAATGAGACTATTGATGAGAGTTGATTAAGGATGGGAATCATTTGTAGAAATTGGAAGATGGGGCGCCTGGGTGGCTCAGTTGGTTAAGCAACTGCCTTCGGCTCACGTCATGATCCCGGAGTCGTAGGATCGAGTCCCACATCGGGCTCCCTGCTCAGTGGGGAGTCTGCTTCTCTCCCTCTGCCTGCACCTCCCCCTGCTTGTGCTCTGTCTCAAATAAATAAAATCTTTTTAAAAAAAGAAAAATTGGAAGATGAATATTTAAGATTCAGAAAGAGGATCAGAACAAATAGAGGGTTTTAAATTTATGATCCCAGCAGCCATCAGTTATCTTTAGGCCCCCAGCTAAAATGTGGTATCATTGTCCATGAAGAAAAACTCATTTTTGGAGCACTGATTAAGTACTACTGCCTTGATTTGTCAGGAGTTTACATTTCTTGTAAGATTATCAGAGGTTTTATAAATGTCAGCCCCACCCAGAAATTAAAACACAGCCCTCTTAGGCCCAAACTGTAGACAGTGAATGCATTTTGAACGATCACGTTTACTGTGCCACGGGTGGTTTGAAAGGAAGAGAGATTTGCCTGATAAAAGAAGTTGGACTGGGGCGCCTGGGTGGCTCAGTCGGTTGAGCGGCTGCCTTCAGCTCGGGTCATGGTCCCAGGGTCCTGGGGTCGAGCCCCGCGTCGGGCTCCCCGCTCCGCGGGGAGTCTGCTTCTCCCTCTGCCTGCCGCTCCCCCTGCTGGTGCTCTCTCTGACAAATAAATTAGTAAAATCTTTAAAAAAAAGAAGTAGGACTAAGAGGGAGAAGAGAAATGGGTTTCTGGAGAGGGGTGTGTGGGGTCCCCCCTCTTTCCAGCCTGGGCCCGCGGTCAGGCCCGGCACGGACAGCTGGGTCCTGCTGAGGAGGAGTCCTCACAGCCCGAGCCTTGATGTGCGCCCGCGGGAGCTTCTAGACTGCCGGTTTGCTCTCTGGCCGGCCTGACGGGCACTTGGGCAAAAGCAGAACATTTGTACGTTGGTGAATGGAAAGAACATAGCATTCGAAGTCAGAATATAATGTTTTGACCTCAATACAAATTATTTAGCCCTTCTGGGCCTTGGTTTTTCCATCTGTAAGGTAGGAATATTCTAAGTCCTTCCCCTTCTGAGGCAGTGGTTGTCACACGGCTCAGATGCAGACACGCACACTCTGAGGAGACGAGCCGCTGTCCACAGTAGCTGGTCCCGTGTGGCCAGAGGGTCTATATTGCATCTGGACTCGTTTAAAAACGGGGGGGAGAAAGGATGCTAGAGATGAACTGCCATGTAATTAGTAATGTTTTCTACTAGTAACATAAGTATGATCTATTGATCTATCCTGTGGGGGACCTATATTCAGGACAACTGAAGTCTTTGTTAAAACAGTTTTTAAGTGGAGTACGTCTAGGACCCTGCACCCGAGGGGCATTCTTCGCACGAAGTGGCACAGACAGTGTGGATACGTGGAGGTGGAGTAGCTCCCGAGTCTGGGGTCTGGGCTTCAGTCCGGCGCAGTTCTATCCCCACATTCAGGCTGGTTGATCTGAGGGGTGTCAGGCTCAGCACGGAGAAGGGAGGAAATCCTGGACAGCTCTGTGCCCTACTTAGCCTGTCTCCGCTGGATTTTCTGAGACATGCTGTTTCTTTCTTGTTCAGTGCATGGCTTCTCCCCCACTCCTACCTCAGTGGAACGCAGGTGCCGAGAGGGCGGGGGCACTTGGTCTGGTTTGTCCACTGCCAGGAGCCGTTCCCAGTACATGGGAGGCACTCGGAGACTCGTAAAGAGAAGGAACATTGGTTCTAATTGATGCAGTGAAGTAAATGTCCACAAACAGGCCTCTAAGCAATAGATGCAAGACGGTTAAGTATGGACTAAACACTAATAGAACACCTGCTTCCGCGTGAAAAGTGACGGGCTGTTCCTATTGACATTTTTGGATTTCTTCTTGAATTGGTGGGCATCGCTGTGCACTTCACAAGTGTCTTTGTTTTTGTTTTACTGCAGCAGTAATACTGAGGAAGATGTCCTCAAAACCAACAAGCAGATTTACTCTCAGCTTTTGAGAGCTATTGCCAACAAAAATGCAACTCTTCTGGAAAGAATCGACATTCTCATCCATTTGCTGGATCAGCTTGCTCGCGGCGGCGGCAGCGGCGTGCAGTGACTGGCGCCCGAGGCTCCGGCTGAGGAGATCCTGTCAGTGCCTTCTGCTCCCGGGGGCTCGTTTGTCCATTCGGTGCTTTGTTTCATTAAATATGAGGGAAATCTCCACCTACAACAGGCCCGGCAGTGGAAACACAGAGTTCTCTTTCCCATGACAGGCAAGTCATGGCTGAGTTCTTTGACTTCTTCATTGGAAGTGCTAAAATCCCAATCAGACTTGGAGCTCCCAGCATTTGTTTCTTTGAGAAGTACACGGTACCTCAGTGTTAACAGACTTGCTTTGGTGGCCGGTACACTTCTAGGCATTTTTGAGGTATGTTAAGCTACATGGGTTTAAGATAATAATTATTTTGGATGATGTTACTTTGGTCAAGGGGACTTTTCTGCAAATGATTTTAGTGGTTCACATGGGTTAAAGAAATGTCCTGTGCATCTGCAGCATCTCCTCCTCAGTGGCACAGAAGGAAGCCCGTCCTCCTTCAGCTTCGGTGCAGGATTTGATGGAGACTGGCCATTGTGCGAGTTTCTGTATTTAGTGCATGTTCTGAAAGGATCCGCTTTTCTTTGACTTTGTATGACAGTTGATAAGAATAGGTACTACCCCCCCCTTTTTTTCTTCATTTTAAACTTGAAACTGTGAATAAGGTAAGAAAACTATTTTGAATAAATAAATTATTTATTTAAAATGTCTTCGTATTTTTCCATTTCACGTTCTTCACTTTGAGTTTTGATTTGAACTGGTTTAGTGAATGAATTTTACAAAGGAACAATTAAAACTTTAAAAATAAAATTGTGCCACTCACTAAGTTCTCACCAGAACGTCACACTCATTTCTCGCCCCTGTTCCTGCGCGGCTCCTGTCCGGCTGCACACGCACGGCGTCTGTTTTCTCCATGCCTACCGCGTGCGGCGCTGGGCTTGTCCTGCCCCGTCCTACTAAAATCCGTTTCAAGGAAATGGAACAGAAATCAAGCATACTCTTTCCTGTCGGGTGGATGGATGGGACTTAGGTGCCTGAGGCCTTTGTAGACAGCCTGCCCTGCCTCCAAGTCCGCTGGCCTGGCCCCGAGGGCCACTCCGACCTCCTTCATGCCACCGGCAGACCCCTTTCCCTGTAGATCCTGCAGAACCCCTCTGCTCAGCAGCCACACCTCTCTGGAGGAATCTGAACTATAGTGAAAGTTGTCTGGAATAAGCTTGTTTTAAGTGGAGTTTTTACAGAGTGCTTTCTCATGCACTAAGACTTTGGGGGTGTTTTCCTTGGCAGTGTGTGGACACCTGTCCTAGCTCGGCAGAGCTCCTCCTGGCCACTGGCCGTTTGTCCACTTTCTTGTTACTTAGTTTGCACTTCCTTGGGACAGATTTGCATCCATTTTTAAAAATCACTGAAGCATTTAAAGTTTTGACTAAGTCATGAAGCCAGTGCACAGACTCAGTCTCCTGTCAGGACGGCGTTCACTCTGCCTTCCCCGTTGGCCAGCACTGTCTCCTCTAGTTAAACCTGCACGCTTCCGTGGAAAAGATCCAACGCCGAAGTAAGCTGGCGTCAGGGATGTCGCAGCCCTGGTCTTGTTTTCTGGCCTCTCCTTGGCTGAACAGCCTTTTCGTCCAGAGGAGTATTTGTTTCTGAGCAAGAAGATACCAATTCTAAAGCTGTCTTCCCTTGTCCGAGCAAGAATATGAACATCCCTACAGGGGGAGAGAGGTCTTTTTCCATGTTTTTGTAATCTGCTGACTTTAAGTTCGTGCTGCTTAAAGTTAAGCTCGTGTCTTAGCTGTTACCTGAGAAGAATTGTGCCATCCGTGGCCTGATCACCGAGATGACTTGTTTTGCAGTTAACTTCAGGGCAGGGACGGAGAGCAGGTTGCCTGGGCACTGGGCTGGGGCGAGGAGGCGAGGGTCGCCAGCAACCACGGCGTCTGACTCTGGGAAGGACACAAGTGTGAACTTCACCTTGACTAGAAATGTGCACAGTAGTAGGTCCCCTGGCACTTTGCCAGACTTGTGAAGATCGAGAAATACATGGGAAAACCTTCTGTACACAGTCACGTATTAGAAAGATATAAATTATTATGACAGGAATTGTGGACTGTAGTCAATTTGAAATCTGTGACTTTTTCCACTGAATGCCCCCAGGGAGCTGCGTTTCCTTCCATGACTGGATCCTATGGCTGTAGGTACGTCTCCGTCCACCCATGAAATCGGGGTGCAGGGGGGCAGGGGTTGGAAAGACGGGGATTCCTCAGGATTCTTTTTTTTAACCTTTCCTAAAAGACTGGCAAAATTATTCAGTGGATTATTTTTTTGCCTGAGAAATTCACTTTTAAATCAAGTATTTTAAAAGTTCAAGTAATGCTTTTCCCACCGGGTTTTAGCCTCATCTGCTTTGGTTATTAAAAATCTGGTTTGTTTTCTTTGTAAAAGAAATCAGACTTTCTCTTAGAAGAAAACCCCTTTGACTCCATTTGCCCATTTTTCTCATTACATGTTCAGGGTGGAGGTATGGACGTCACAAATGTCAAACCACCGCTCTGAAATTGACTGCTTCGGGAATAAGCCATTTGAAGGAAGCCAAGAATGCTGTTGTCTGTCCCTGTCGCTAACCACTTTCCAATATGCATTGCCTTTGAAAAAGAAAATGGCGTTGTGTGCGTAGGAGTAATAGGCTGAGTCTATATTCCTGAAGGGATGGTTCTCTGGGTCTATTCCCGGAAACACTTCAGTGATCTTCATCGGATAAGAATCAAGTACTTGATTTCTATTGACATCAAATGCAAACACCTGCAAAGCAAGGAAGAGAGTTAAGACTGGCTTTTTGGAAAAGCACTGATTTTTAGGTTAATTTATAGGAATGAGCTAAGTAAGTCTGTGGCTTTGCACCAAATTCTCTGGGCTTGAAGTTCTTCATTTTCCATATGATGGGGTCTGCCATGGCCACGGAGGTCTGAGGCAACTGAGAACAACTTGTGACTAAGACCTTGAATTTCACGTCGGGGTGAAGAAGCAACACCAGGCTGGAGAGCCTCCTACTTACAAGGGACTCTTTGAAGAAGTAAATTAACTGCTTGCTTCGGTCATAAAAGGCAGTGTCCAGGGGACTTGGGACGCCAGGAAATCCTTCTGAAATCAATTTGGGGTAGCTTCTTCCTTGTTCATCTTCTGTGTAGGCCTGATCCTTGTCACTGTCATATCTCCAGTACTGATCTCCTGAGGGCCAAACAAAAAATGCTAATATGGTTTATTACCATTTAATTATAGCAAACCATGAAGAGGGACTGCTTTCAACATAGGTCTCAGCCAACCACGATGTTCTCCCGTGATCCCAGGACGAGGCAGGACCTCAGCCTCTAAGCAAAGCCTCCATTCAGACGAATGATTCCCCAGGTCTTGAATTACTTCTAGATTGATCCCGGCAATCACTGCTGCTATTAAAATGTTGGTTGTCAGGGGCGCCAGGGTGGCTCAGTCGGCTAATCATCTGCCTTCAGCTCAGGTCGTGATCCCGGGGTCCCGGGAACCTGGGGTCGGGCCCCAAGTTGGGCTCTCTGCTCAGCAGGGAGTCTGCTTCTCCCTCTGACCCTCCCCCTCTCGTGCTCTCTCTCTCTCAAATAAATAAAACCTTAAAGAAAAAAAGACACGCGCCCGCTCAGGCCCCTCTTGGCGTGTCTTTCTTCAAGATGACAGGGCGCTGGAGAAGAGGCTGCTGGAATCAGCTGCAAACTCTGGAGATGAACCTCACCAACCTGGTTAAGCGCAACAGTGAACTAGAAAATCAAATGGCCAAACTAATGCAGATCTGCCAGCAAGCTGAGGTGAGTACAAAGCATGAGGCAAAACTCATGGAAGAATGTGACGAGTTGGTAGAGATCATCCAGCAGAGGAAACAAATGATCGCTGTCAAAATCAGAGAGACAAAGGTTATGAAACTGAGAAAGTTGGCACAACAGGTGGCTAATTGCTGCCAGTGTCTTGAGCGGTCAACGGTCCTCATCAACCAGGCTGAACATATCCTGAAAGAAAATGACCAGGCCCGGTTTCTCCAGTCTGCAGAAAATATTGGCCAAGAGGGTCGCTATGGCAACAGCATCTTCTCAAGTTCTGATTCCGGACATCAATGTTAATGATGCCTTTGAAAACTTTGCTTTGGATTTTTCCAGAGAAAAGAAATTGCTGGAGGGGCTAGATTATTTAACAGGTGTGAAAATACTGTGGTCTCCTTCCCATTTTAATGCTTGTCTTTTGGCGTTCTCTTACTTTAAGGTAATCGGAAAAGGACAGTATTTGTAATGAAGATGCTTTTATAACCTTTAAGACAATACGTGTATCCTTTTAGATAGAATATATTTTAGCTCATGTAACAGAAAAGAACGATGACGTGTCAAATACTTCTGGGGGCAGACGAGTATACCGTTATACCTAAAGGTCAAGAAAAAACAAGACATTGCTGATGGATTTCTCCTCATGAACCTATCAGCAATATATTGTTGCTTGTTGTTGAGGGGGTTAGAACTCAGGTGGCAATTATGGAATATGAAAGGATGCCCCGCATAGGTACAAGTACCATTCAAATTGTTTTAAGGAAATTTGAGGATCTGGCAAATTAGGATGAAAAATGTAACAATTTTAGGAAATGAGGGAGGCAAACAGCCTATGAAAAATGCTGGCTACCTTCAGGATTACTGAATGGCCACTTCATGAGAAAAATACACAGGTTCAATAATAACTTTGCATTGATCTTATTTTTGTTAACATATTAAAATAACTGTCCCTTATTGAACAACTAAAAAAAAAAAGAAAGAAAGAAAACGTCAGTTGTCTTCTGTCGGGCACTCCAGCCCACTGGCACTCATCAAAAGCAAAAACAAAAGAACAAAAATCATGTGGTCTTTTTCACAGAAGATTCTTCTTCTTCTTCCTATATAGTCTCATGATCTTCCTTTTACGTGTTAGAGACCCGTGGGTTGTCCTGATTTTCCTACCATAATCAACCTAAGCCCTCCTCTTACAGGAAACAGTCCTGATGCTTATGATGGGGTTTTACTTTTTTTTCAGGGTTTTAGAATTACATCGTTTTAGAAAAGAGCTGAAGTTGGTCCGTCCGGATCACAGCCCAGGTGGACCCGGTGCAGGCCCCTCCTCCACCCACGTGATTCCACCCACTGTTCTCTGAAGCTTGTCCTTTTGCTCCCTTTCATTTCAAGATCCAAATGCTAATTTCACGCTCTGAAACACCACAGGATTATTCTAAATTCTCCTTAATAGTTCCTAATCCTGACTATTGGCATACTGTCAGCAGAAAATAGAACAAATCCATGGGGTTAGATACTTTTGTGTTCGCAACTTACACGTCACAACCAGTTATACTCCTTAGCCACCAACCATGTGAGCTCCCGCTCCCTCATTCCCTCCCCGCCCCTCGCCGCCCCCCCCCCCCAAAGCTTTGCCATCGAAAAAGAACAGTGAATGACGTGTGTCCAGCCGGGGGGTGCGATTCACTCTAACTGGAATACTTTTTGAATTCAAAGTATTCACAGCAAGTTAACTTTAAGATGTTTTTAAAGCTCCAAGAATAAAATACAGCCATTTGACAGCAATTCCCCCACAATGACCTAATTCTATAATTAAGAGTCTTTGTTGCCAGTATAAATTCTAGTCCAGGACTTCCTAAAGCACTGAATGTTGTGCTTCCAACCCTGAAAGATCTAAACCAGACAAGTCCACCCTGGGAAACTTCTTTATGTAACTGAACCAAAATAATTCTTCCTTTGTGTGATGTAAGGAAAATTAAGACCAAATTCATACGCAGGTTTCTTACGGCCAAATCTACATACAGCATCCTCTTGATTGGGCTCTTGCTTCACTGACTCCTGAGCCGTTTCAGGCAATAGGGTCGTATTACTAGGGCGTCGGGCAGAGACAGGGCGCACCCCTTAGCGAGGGCGAAAGTCTGGGGAAGGGAAAGAAAAAGCAGCAACCACAGACTCTTGTGTGTGGTTAGACTCCAAGCATTTGGTTTGCCAAGGCAGCCAGCCTCCGTGACAGGGGCACAGAAGTTCTGGGCAGGGTGGTGTGTGAGTGAGGGAAAGCAGCAGCAAGAGAGCCTTGGCCTGCCTGCTCTGTGTGCCCCTCCCACCCCCGGGGCCCCCCACCTCAGTTTCTGCCTTCCAGCAAAACACTGATCCTGCCTGCTTGGAAACCACCGATTCCTCCCTGCCTGCTGGATGACATCCAGCCTCTGAGCACGGAGGCTCTTGGTGCTCAGGCCGACCGGCTTTCCACCCTAATCTCATCCCGTGTGAGGGTCCTGTCACACCTCCACGGGCTCAGCTGTCTCCCATCTGCGTTTTCACCCTCACCCTAAAGCTTTGCTTCTGCCTCCTGTGTCTCACTGCCCCCTCACCCCCGTCTGCACCTCCCCCATCACACTATTCCCGGTGTCCCTTTCGGGGCACCCGGGGTCCTACGCAACCTCTGACGCTGGGGCAATCCCCGAGTTCTGGGTGGCTCCAGCATCTGGTCACCTTGTCCACTCATCCTTCCCTTCACCGCATAATTCTAGTGGTCAGCTTCTAAGGTCTTTTCTCTCCAGAACTAGTTAAAACGTCTATAGGGAGGGCCCTTTCTTACGGGTCTTTGGCAACCACCTCAGGGCCTGGCACAGTTGGTCCACTCATTCATTTGTTCCTTTGACGAATTCAGTGCCTTCTTACAGAGATCGGGGGATACAACACAGTCCCTGTGCTCACAGAGCTCACAGTCTGACAGAACAGACAGAAATCAGGTGAGTAATTGCAAGAGCATTATACTAAGATTCTTTGGTATGGAGCTCAAAACATTTGTTCTGAATGCATCTGTGTAATAAAAGAAATAGAACCGTCCAGAAGAAGCTCTACCTTTAAAAAAATAACGTTCGTCTCTTCTCCACGTCCAGAGGTGGACAAAAGCGTCGATGTTTTGTGTTGGGATTCCGTGCCAGCCACGGAGGATTTGGATAGGATCCCCGTAGCGTGTCCGGTTATTTCGATTTTCATAAAGCCAGTACCAGCTGTTGCGGAAAAAGTAGGTGCTAAATCTCATCATCACGGCTCCATGTTGGTTTCGCTCTTTGCGAATCCAGTCAAATGCAGTATCAAATGATCCTTCACATGAACCTGAGAAAGAAAAAAAGAAGTCCAGCCACTGGTCACCTGGTGCAAAAACCAACAGTCGCTATTTTCATGTGTGACTCGAACAGAGACAACCGCGAAGCTGGAGTTTTCTGTTAAGCTGTCTCAAAGCAAGACGCCCCCCAAGACTGAAGTAGGCCTACCCAGCCGAGCAGGAGGAGTTGGAGGGGCCCGGGGGGCCTGCAGCAGTGCCGGCTCACATGGGCCGTTCTGGCTATTTTGTGCAGAAGATTACTCTCTGAGGTGTCTCGATTTTGGATGCTGGGTATGTGATCACCCTAAACATAACTAATGCCTCTTGATGGCTCATCTGACTTCATGAGAGGCAAGCAGTTTGGTTCTGGGCACACACAAGAGTAAGATTTCCCCTGCAGGAAAGAAATCCATCCTGGCATTTGTCACTGTCCAAACATGCTGAGAGCATCTTCGCATAGAATGGCTGGAGTGGAACAGAAATGGTGGTGCTCTCTGTTTTAAATGGAAAAGGGGAGAGTAGCTTTCTTTCCCCTCAGCCTCAACGCTAGACCCATTAATCACTTCCATTAAATAATGAACCGTTAACTCTTTGGCCTGCATAATTGAAGAGAGATTAAAGTTGATCCTGGCAAGGCTCCCACTGTTCTTTGCCTTGGGACGGCAAGGAACTTCTCCCAGGGGCTTCCCAGTGCCTGCAGCGCCCACGGGAGGCCACCGCCTGGGTGGCCCACTGAGCTCTAGGAAACCACCCAGTTACCCTCCGTCCTCCCAGGGACATAACGTGGCACAGGGAGGAGGGAACATCCATGGGAGTGCTTTGCTCTGCACCAGTGGCTACCCTTGGGGCACGGCCACCTTGAAGGAAGAGCTCACGATCATCCAGAACAGTCTTACCATACAGTTTTTGAACTGCTTTTCTGTCTGACCAGTCCAACTCAAACACAGGCTCCTGGGGGATGTAGTTCGGTTGCATTATGGATCCTGTTCTATAGGTGTGAGGCAGGCCGAGTACGTGGCCAATTTCATGGACGGCCACCTAAAAGGGAACACAAACCACGGGTGCGGTGCCAACCCTGGGTGTCTGGGAGTCACGTGGACCCCCCGCCCCCCACTCCAGGGGCAGGCCTGTGCTTTAGGAGGAGCGGCACTTGTTAAGGAGAAGGGGAGCGATGGGGAGAATCGGGGAGCTTTCTCAGAAGGCTGTGGACACTTCCCCCGAGAAGCCCTGGCGTTCTGCACTCCAGCCCGTGCTGCATGCCCTTTGCCTGGTCCCTCCGCACAGCTGCAGACTGCTTACTTTGAGAAGGCTGATGCCCGCGTCACTGGTGGGAGGTGTGAAGTGTTCATCATCGTCAAAGTGGATGTCGCCCAGGCGCCAGGCATGTGCAAACTCCTGCCCGCTGCCATCAAAAACCCGAGGACAGCCCAGGTGCCGGCCTGGCAAGGGGAGAGGGAACACGGACACCCGAGGGTTCGCCGCCTCCAGGGCTCACAGTCCAGGAGCAGAAGCAACCACTCCTGGCTTGTGCAACAGTGTGGTGTCGTGTCTGAACACTTGGAAATAGCTGCCTAGCAAACCTGTGGGAGCCCAGAGGAGTGGGGGCGGGGGGGGTGCCATCCAAAGGCTGAGGGAGGAGACAAGATCTGAGCTGGATCCTAACAGCTGAGTGGTCAGCACATGAAGGAGGTGCTGCCCGACAGTCACGTCCCTGCCCTGTGTACAGTTTTCAGCAAGCCTCCTGCGTAGAGCTCACAGCAGGACAGTCAATCCAGTCAGACCAGCAGGGCAGACGTGAGCATCCCTAGCTCCCAGCCGGGGCTGCAGAGAAGTTACTTTCTCCAAACCCACCCAGCTAGGAAGTGGTGGGGCCTGCTGGTGGGGGCCAGCAAACCACGGGGCTAGTGTTCCCCAGGAGTGGCGGGAAGGGCCAGCCAGGCCAGGGTCGCGCCCTGCTGGGCTCGCCGAGGTCTCACTGGGCTGATCTGCTCAGAGACAAGCGGAGGGCCCGCACTGATGTCCCCATGTGACCGCTCCCCGGGGGGCACAGGGAGACATGCCGTGCCCTTCCCAGTGAGTGGTAATAAAGCAGCACCTACAGAGGGTTTGCCATCCGCCCATACCCCTGGCAGGTGCCACCTCGGACACCCCAGGAGGCTTTGCAGGTGACTGGCGCGGGGTTGCCCCCGTCGGCCTGGGGGCCCCCGGGGCTCCCGGGGAACGGGGCCCCACCGTCCGGCCGTGTGGGAAGGCAATGGGGCGCGGCCCGCCTGCAGAGTCTTCGCCCTTCTCACCTCGTCCGAAACCCAGCTTTATGTCCACGGCGGCTCCGGGGGCGGCCAGGTCCTCCCGGAAGTCCAGCGGCATCACCTCGCTCCACATCCGGAAGGCCAGTCTGAGGATGTGCCTCTGCTCGTCCACGGCCAGCTGCCCGCTGGCGCCCTCCCCCAGCAGCCGCCAGGTCAGCGTCCTCTTGGCGAAGGCCCGGGTCCCCCCGCGGGGCGCGGCGCCCTCGGGCTGCGGGTCCCCGGGCGGCGGCGGCGGCCGCAGGAAGCGCTTGGGCCGGGCGGGGCGCGGCAGGCGCGACGGGGGCCCGGGGGCCGGGGGCGGCAGGGGCCGCGTGTCGGGGACGCCGCAGCGCGGCCTGTTCATGGCCGCCAGCGTGGCCGCGTCCAGCCGCCCGCTCGCCGGCAGCGCGTTGACCTTCTGGAACCTGCGCACGGCCTCGGCCAGGGCGGTGGCCCGGGGGCCCACGCGCCGCGCGTGGGGGCTGGGGCCCCGGGGCCCGGGTCCGGGGGGCGCGTCGGCCCAGCCGTACTTGGACAGGAATCGCTGCGGGAGAGAGGTACCGGCCCGCGGGGCGGGGGTCGCGCACTGAGCGGCTGGGACGCGGGCGTGTGTTTGTGTCATGTACTAGGTTTGTGCAGGAGACAGGGCGCGCGAGGCCCGGAGGCCCGGAGGCCCTCAGGCGGGTCTGCGTCCGCCGTGCCAGCGTTTCTGGTCGGCGGTTATCGGTTGTTGGTGCGAGGCCCCTCACCTGAGGCGGTGTGGCCGCCGTGCACGTGCCTGCGTGTGCGCGTGTCCGCGAGTGTAGGTGCCCGCCGATGGTGTGCACGGGTCCGCGGGCCTGTGTATGTACGCGCCTGCGTGTGGTGTGCACCAGCCTGCGCGTGCACGCGCCCGCAGCTGCATGCGCCCGCGTGTGCCCGGGAGTGGCCGATGCCGGGGGGCTGCTCCTACCTGCGCAGCGACAGGGTCGGCGATGGGCTGGGCCCGGCGCAGCGGGGCGGGCTCCAGGTCCGAGCGGTCCCGGCTGTGGAAGAGTGGCTCGGGCCGGGCGGGCCGGGGGGCCGCGAGCCAGCAGAGCAGCAGGGCCCGACGGACGGCGGAGGCGGCCAGCATGGCCCCGGCTGAGCCCTGCGCTCCCGCGTCGCCACCGTCCGTCCCGTCTCCCTCCGGAGGCGCAGGCCCCCCGATGCTTTTATATGAGCAGCCCCGGGGAGCCGCGCGTTTCCAAGGCCTTCTCACCCGGGCCTGAAGCGTGCCCACCAGGAGGCCCAGCCGGGCCCGGGCGCGCAGCCCTTTGAAGACCCCAGGAGCACGCTTCTTGTTGGGGTGAGAATGTTTGCGGCATCCCCGGGTAATTACATCCCGACCTGGCAGCCGCCTGCCCATTCCACTTCTGTGGTGGCGGGCTCGTGGGCAAGCTGCTGCCTGAGTGAGCTGCGACCGGCCCTGGTGGCAGAGGCGCAGAGCCTCGCCCCTCACAGCCTGCTGGGGCCCGCTGCACCTGCGGCTTTGCCGCCTGACCCTCTGTTTGCTCAGAGTTTGCGTCCATTTTCTTTCTTGGTTAGCTGGGGTTGGGGATGATTTGTATCTCTGATCTCTTGTTGTTGTTAAATAAAGGGAATAATCAGTATAGGAAGATGTAAATTTCGGAGGAAATCCAGTGATTCAGATGGGTAACATTTTGGTGAACATTCTTGCAGATACATGTATTGTGTACATGCACAGGGAAGGATTTGTGTATGGATGATTTTATATAAATTATATTCTCTATGCTGTTGCCTTAAACTCAGTGGAAGGTCATGGATGCCTTTTTGTGTTCACGAATGTAGGCATTTACCATCCTAGTTAGTGGCTGTGTGGTGTTCTAGTCTGTGGGCCAGGGATTTGTTCTAGATTCTAGAACTGCCCCTCCCCGTTTCCGCTCATGAAGGAGTCTGCTGGAGGAGGGACAGGGGAAAGAAGAAATTAGCTCAGCTGCCTGGAATTTGTAACGGGTCACGTCCAGGGAGCCTGAGGGAAGGGAGTGAGGCCCTTCAGGCACTATGGCTGCAGGTGAGAGCCTGGAATGCCAGCGTCACAGGTCTGATAACAGCAAGGGTGCAGGTGTGGGGGCTGTCCTTTAGCGGCTCATTCATTCATCAAATACTCCTTACTATTCTAGGGACAGGGACTACGGAAATGAACATGATGGACTCATTCTTCGCCCTCATGGAACTTATATTCTAAGTGGAGGAGACGGACAATAAACAAGACAATGAATGAAAAATTCAAATAGCGACAGGGACTAAGAATGTAGACCAGGAAAGTGAGTGCCTTGGAGGTGGGGAGTCAATATTAAGGTGGCCAGGAAAGACCTCTTGCAAAGGTGAAAAGTAAGCAATGAAAGAAAAGTAAGACGGATGGTGTCACATGTGATTAGGGATTCATGGGTGGTGTGGGCAAAGGAAAGGACAAGTGCAAAGGCCCTGGGGCAGGACCCAGCACCTGCAGAACAACAGAGGGCAGTGTGGTAGATGTCAGTGAGGGGGTGGGAGGAGGGAGGTGAGGATGGAAAAGAGCGTGGGTGGGAAGATGATGAAGGACCTGGAGGTCAGATCATTTGGACTCTACCCTAAGTTTAGTGGGGATCTGTTGAGCAGGAGAGTGACTTTATTGATTCATTATTTAAAGAATCAATCTGGGGCACCTGGCTGGCTCAGGGGAGCAGGTGATCCTTGATCTTGGGGTTGTAAGTTCAAATCCCACGTTGGGTGTAGAGATTACTTAACTAAATATACAAACTTAAAAGAATCCTCCCAGCTGCTCTATGGAAGATAAATAAAAAGGGCGGCAGCCCAGAGACAGGTGTAGACTGCATCCTCTGGCCTGGCAGTCCCTCCGGGGTGCCCCAGCAGCACTGCTGTGCTGGGTTGGTCTGATGGCCCTGTAGCCTGAGACCCCTCATGGGGCTCCAGGATATTGGGGTTTCTGGACAGGGCACAGTACTAGACTGTGACCCAGGAAGATCTGTTCCTAGTGAGGTCCCTGGAGCAGGTGTTCGGCCTCACACCCATGCTGCAGTGACAGGGCCAGCCCCAGTGGCATCAGGGTATTGTGCTCCCAGGGAGCTTGGATAACCTGTCAAGCTACCTGCACAGCCCCACTCAGTTCCTGTCAGCTCAGAGGTATTCGGGGCCGGCCACGTACCAGGTGGGGACACAAGAGCGAGCGGGGGGTGAGGGGTACGGACTATGGAGTGGGGGCCTGTTGGTTCGAAACCCTCCCAGGGCTGTCCAGGTGTAATGGGTCCCTGCACCCGCCTGCCAGATCTTGAAAGTTTATCAAGAGGCCCTACCTGGGCTCAGTCCCATAAACTCTGCAGGTGTTTTCAACACCACATTACCTTTCAAGGCTGTGTCCTTGGAACAGCTTCTGGGAGCAGGAAAGGCAAGCAGAACAGAACCCACATTCCAAGGACTGGGAGGGGGTGAGGAGCATTGGCATGCCCAGGTCCAGCTCACGGGTCAGTCGGCAGTCACGTCTTTTAGATGACCTTCCCCAGCAGGGCCCTTCTGATTACGAAGGGCCGCTCACCCTCAGCTGTGTCCACAGACCCCGCTCCTTACCTGTCTCCTATGGACGTGCTCTCCTAGCCCCCCCGAACCAGCAGCACTGGCTTCAAGCGGTCTGTGGTCAGTCCTGCGGCAGGGGAGGGCACCCGGGCCAGCCGTCAGGAGATAGGTTGTGGCTCAGGGCGTGGAATTGCCCATCATTACCCTCACACCCACTGCGTGCTTCCTATATTCAGAAGCAAGTCCCAGGCATCCTATATAATCCTGTGCATAAATACGTTCGTATGGGTCTGTACATGTTAGACTCTTGGGGGGAAAAAAAGCAAAGCACACCACCATTTTCAGGCCTTAAAACTGAGCAACAGCCCTCTGATAGTATAACGTGGACCCAGGCAGAGTTCACATTTTCAGTTCCAGCCTCTTTCATTACATTTTAAATTAGCTTTTGATTGTTAGGTACATCCTGAAAAAATGTAAAACGAAACAAAGAAGATGAAATGTGCAACGCAGTGACTCCCAGTGGTGCGCAGGTACCTCGTGCTTCCCATGTGACTGTGGCACACGACATTTACACAGAGCCAGAGGGGGGCTGCCCCAGCGCTGGGGGGCTGCTGGTCCCCCGCCCATGCCCGCCGGGCCTGCTCTGCCCTTCTACCTGGACTCCCGTGAGGGGCCTAGGAAGCTCATCCCCTCATGCACAGCACTGGCCTGGCAAGCCCTCTGCACCGGGTGACCAGAGACGCCTAGCCACAACCAGTGCCCTACTCTGGTTTCTTCCCACTGTGCCCTGTTGTATATATGTGTCATTTACATGTATAATACATATAAGCACATATGTAACCATGACACGTGTTAGTCATGCGTTGGCGAGTATGTGTGTCAGCTGTATTTATCAACATACTTCACGTATCCACATGTCAGTGAACACGTACACCCCAATAAATGGCTACAAAGAATTATTGCACCGTGTGGCCAAAGCCAAGTGCAACTGTCACGTGTCAGGGCAGTGTTCACTTTCCCACATGACTGGGTTTTCTGTTTTGTTTTTTTAAATTCTCAAACTGTGTGGTGGTTTTTTGTTTTTTTTTTTTAAAGATTTTATTTATTTGAGAGAAGGAGAGAGCATGTAGGAGCAGGGGAGAGGGGCAGGAGGAGAGGAAGAGGCAGACTTCCTGTGGAGCAGGGAGCCAGGCACGGGGCTCGATCCCGGGACCCTGGGATCATGACCTGAGCCAAAGGCAGACGCTTCACCGACTGAGCCACCCAGGTGCCCCTCAAACTGTTTTGATTAGAAGATAATCCTGAACATTTTCTCTTGGGGAAACAAAAACCTGCACAGGTACAAGATTTAGAACAAAATTATTCGAGATACCGTCTAGACACTGTATTTCCTGGGAGGCTAACGTTCCGGACATGGAACAGAATTGAGAACTCTGTGGTTGAGAGCTGGTGTCCCGAGGGCTGATGTCACACAGCCTGAGTTCTGCCGGGTTTGAAAGCCAGTCGGTGCCTGTCCATCCCGTGAGCTCTGGCTGAAGACAGCGCTTCTGAAAGTCAGGTCTTCAAACGTGCACGGCAGCTCTCCATAAAGATGGCAGGGGACCGCGCTAGGGCTTTCTGATGGCAGGGTCTTATTCCCTACCATTGTTTTCTCCTGTGTTGTGCGGCTGGCCTCTTGCAGCTCGGGGATTGCCCACCCTTCTCTCAGAGCGTTCCTCTCCCCGATTATTTCAGAGCCTCTGAGTAGCCTGACTGGTGTCACAAGGTTCCCACTGTCTGATTAACTAAATTGCTCATTCCAGGTAAATTGGATTTTAAGGAAATCAGTTAGATTTAGGAGGAAAAATGGCAGAGAAAAGCGGGTGATCTACAATACAGACAGGAAGGACAGGGGCTCCCAGAGAAGCTGGTTCCTGGTCTGTACAGGGCACTCCTCATCTCTGAGCTTGGGGGAAGGGTTTGGCTGGAAGCTTCCAGAGTCTCCTTAAATGCTGAGATGGCATGATCCAATTGTCAGTGGGAGGCCTGAAAACTTTTTTTCCCTGAAGTACATGTCATTTACAACATGGGTTTACATATTCTCAGCACCGCACAGCATGACATTTTGAAAAAGACTTTCCCTTAATTGTTCCCAAGGGGGGGATTTTTGAGCCTGATGCACAGTGAGGGGTCAGTCCTGACTCCGAACGTGGATCGATCTCAGGAAGCCCAGGTGTTTGGGAAACCACCTGTGCAAATGCAGGCCTGGGTGTGACTCACAGCCGCACACTGCTGCCTGTGAAAGGGAGAAGAGAAGATTCTTCCCACTCCCTGCCCTTCTGATTTCCTTCTCTCTGGACTTCGCATTTCCCGTCGCTTTCCGCCCACAAAGGCTCCTAGGCCTGCCCGGGAGCATTCACACACGCTTACATGTGGAAGGCTCTGCGGTTTGGGGCTCCTGGATCCCCTGCCGACGGAAGCACGCTGAGGCGGCGAGGCGGCTGGGTGGGGAGGGAGGCCACACTCACTGCTTGCCGGCACTTCTCTGCCCAGGTGTGTGTGAGACGCTCCAAGATTATAATG